AAATTAGATGGGAGGTGCATTGGGCCTAACTAGCTGAAATACTCACTGAAAGCCCGAGAGCTACAGTACCTCTCGAGCCGCCGCGGAAATCGGGTTTCTCGGTGTGTTTTAGCAGGCTTCCGTAAATTTTGCGGCACTACGCTGTTAGCGGGGGGGTAACCTGAGTCGAGCCAACCTTGCTGGTGTGGCAGAGCCTGCAATTCTGTGGGCAGCGCTGGTTGCAGATTCCCGGCACGTAAAGATTTTTGTCGCGATCCCTGAAAAAACCGAACAGATGGGTAATGGTAATCGAGGAAGTATCCGACTTGGGGCACTCGACGCCGAGGTATGCGAGGGCGGTCGCCGCTCCGGTTTGACCATGGATCATAAACGACTCAATCTCGGCACCTTCAGAGTCAGGCGCGTGCACATTGAATCATCACTGAAACACTCTTTTGTTTACTACAATATCACCTTGAACGGTGTCATTTGGTTCTTAACGTCTTTGTAGGAGGATAACCAAATTTTTCATAAGTCTAGAGATGTCTAGTAACTTAGGAGCGCGTTTCACTATGGTTTTGTTAAAAAACGACTACATTTCAACTCGACAAAGCTATGGAAAAAGTTTTAAAAGGTCGGAATTTTGGTTAAAAAAAATCGATAGTTTTGGAATTTTTAAATATTTTTTTATAGTTTTCTCGTTTATGAATACTCAAAACCCTTTACAAAAACGTCCACTATTTATATTGAAAAAATTAGATCCTAAGAACAAGCTGGTCCCCGCTATAATACGAAAGCACAGATTTTGGAATTTTGGTTCAATCGGCGATTACCTCCCCCCCCCGATAATATGCAAGTTCCCGTCATTTTTGAAAGGCTTTTAAGAAACATAAAAAGTTAAAAGCGAAAAATGGACTACAAGAAACGAAACCTCCTCACTTGTTATTAAATACCGTCCCGGGGGCACATTCATCGCACTGTCCGTTGTACCAATACTTGCAGCCGGGAGTCGCCCCGGAACGCTCCAGATCTATCTGAATGGCTTATATAAGTGCAGTTCACCCCCAGCCGACCACCCCGACCGTCTCTCGGCTCCCTGTTCATCTACAGGCGTGTAAAGTATACCAAAATACTCGCCAGAGAACGGGAATAATTTTGGTATATTTTACACACCTGCAGATAAACAGGGAACTTAGATAGAAAAGTTGGGCGCCGGCTGGGGGGGAAGGGGTAAACTCCACTCTAACCATTTGAATATTTGGGTGGTATTCTGCTGCTAGCGGGGGGGCGACGGGCCCATTTTCCTCACTCAACAATATCGTACGCTAACCAAATGTCAATTTTGCATGAGAATACAGGTAAACGCCAGTGATCAAGTCACCACCTACCACAAAAAACACGCGCCCTTCGGCGTTAATATGGAGGCCAGCACATCGGATTTCACTCAACACCGTCATTTTTCCGCTGTCATCAACGGTGATATTTGTCACATGATATGGGAAGACTGTGTGGCTGAAAAGATATATTTTTAATGAATATTAAAAGCGCGTCTAGAAATTTCGACATTCCGGGAGCACGCAATCGTCGTAATATACCTGTAGTAAAATATGTCGTCGACATTTTGCCCGTAGCACTCGGTCAGCCCGCCGGTTTCCGTGCTGAAATTTCGTAGATACGTATAATGTCAAGCCAGAAAATACATATAATGCCAAGGCCGATCGCATTCTTCGCCTTCACATCTTGTATAGCTGAGCGTGGAGTAGTTCTGAAACAGCGATAATTTGGATACTGATAGTGAGGGTGCATACCGTAGATGCGCAAGAGTGGTAGAAGAGCAGCACCAAGACGAGGAGGATCCGGAGGATCATCGAGACGACGACCGGATTATCACATAGAAGTCTCGAGATGAAACCAATTTGTGTCGTTTTTGGAGGCCTTGGCGAATTCAAACCGCATGCTAATTTTTTTTAGCTATTTTGCCAGATGCTAATTTTTTGCAGTTTTAAACCTGGGTGACCGGCCCGAAGAGAGTGCAAGAGAGAACGAGAGTGAGAGAGAGGGAGGGAGCGGGCGAGATAGATAGAAAGAAAGGAAGAAACAGAAAGAGAGTGAGAGAGCTAGAGAGAGCGAGCGAGAAATCCAGCTTCAGCAATTTTTCGAAACCATTCATTTATTCAAAAGCGCCGAAAAATCCGTACAAATAGAGTTTGCAATCACAATTACAATTTGCAATGAATTAATGTATAGGCTTTAATAGCTTGGATGATCAACGGCTCGGGCGCGGTGAAACGACAACTTCGGGGCGTACGATGTCACCATCTCCTAGCGGCTCATCTTCGTCGGTTTCTGCCTGGAAAATGAGTTTCAAAAAGAAAAATCCAAAATCTTACCTGCTCATCGCGGATAAACTCCCGGTAGTTCTGCAAATCGTCCTCGAGCACGGCCAAAAGCTGATCGAGCCGCAAAAAAAAGTTAAAATAAACTCACAATTTGCGAATTTTCAAACATTTTTTACAAATTTCCAGCAATCAAAAACTAATAATAAGCGCAAAACACACCAGTTATTATTAACAAGTATAGGTGAAAAAAACAAGAATTGGTTGGTTAGAGTGAATTTATCCCCCCCCCCCCAGGCCGGGACACGACTTTTGTATCTTGGCTCCCTGTTCATCTACAGGTGTGTAAAATAGACCAAAATGTGCGCCTTGCTCTCCAGAGTATTTTGGTATGCTTTACACACCTGTAGATGAAAAGGGAGCCGAAATTCGGTAGGTGGCGGTCAGCTGGGGCGGGGGGGGGAGCGTAAACTTCACTTAAAGGGCTGCCGACGGCATGTGTCGATCCCCCCATCAACAAATTGGCAGGTAGCCAACAGGGCAGAGAGCGCGCCCGGGGGAGAGGCGCAGAGATATTTTCTTTTCCGCGCGTAACCGATTGACTATGCCGTCGGCATCCCTTTAAGCCAATTGGTTCACCCGGTGCTAATGTAAGACTTTACCATGCTCATAAACTCACAATATACGAGATGCCATTCATCAACCGGGTGGCCGACTCGCTGACGTCGATGAAGATGTTGCCGATCGACAAGGCCAGATCGTGCGCGAGCTCGAGGATCAGGATGGCGACGAAGCGAACGATCTAAAATTTGGGGCGCTGGTTCGTTAGGGGGGGAGGGAGACGATGACAATGGACCTATTGGAAGTCCTCCCCCCATCGCAAAGAAAACGGCTCTGGACTTTTAGCCGCGGCGGGATTTTTAGCAGGGGCTAAACCACTTAACACATTAATTGGTACCCTGGTTCAAAAATGACACCTACAGATTCACCGATGCTGTACAGAAAATTCTTGACGGGGTGGAGGATGCGGTAGACGAGGTGGCGCGCGATCGTTGGACCTGGAAATGCGGTTTTTCAGCCAAAAATTGCTCTCGAATACGTCTCGTAGAGACGTTGAGCGGGGACTCGGGCAGGGCGCTCATTTCGGCGGCAAGAACTTGAAATTTGGTAGGAGCCAAGATGACGTGAATCAGGCTAGAAATGAGAAGAAATATTCAAATTTCTGCAAGGAAATTTAGGCAAATTTCTGTTTGTTACCGCGGTATAGGTTTCGCAACGTTAATTTTGAAAATATTACCGGTCAAGCGGCTGATCCGCTGTAGATCCGCAGGTTCGTTTCCATTATCGGGAGACTTGGTTTTTTGCCGATAAGCCGGAAAGTATTTAGTGACAACTATTAAAAATCGAATTTTCGGACAAGAAATCGCTTTTAACCCGAATCGTTCTTTCTTTTCTTTTAATAGTTTTAACCCAAAATTCTCCAGCTTTTCTGTTTCGGGATACTTAAAACGTTTTACTATATTTCCGGTATTTATTAGCAAAATTCGATACTAGAGAAAAATTTTCGGAGGTCGAATGGTCGCTTTCGAGGCGCGGTTACCTTTGGGCAAGAAAATCCATGAAAAATAATAAATAATCAACCAAGAAAAAACCGATGCACCAAATAATTTATTCCAAACATTCACCCGGAAAGCACAATACAAAGAACAGATACAGCCAACCGAAACGTAATTCATCCTACTATATATAAAAAAATAGTGTTTGTGTGTGTGTGTGTGATACTTCGCAACTTCCGTCACCATGTCGGAGGATATCTCGATAGGGGATGAATTTTTGGCACGTATGATCGTCTTTAGGTGCGTATGGCTCTGGGATGACTGCGCTTATCAGCTTTACAAAATTAATTGTTTTAAATATTAAATTTCAGTTTTTGTAAAAATTTCGGACACCCTCTTTGTTAGGAAACAATTAGCATGCACCGGAAGTGGCGGTAGCCTATTTAATCAGGTGAAGTGTCATTTTCATTTTTTCTCATCTGTTCGAGGGACTTATGCAGAAGAAGAATATTATGGGGAGAGACAGGGCCAGGGTTGAAAAGTCGCGAAGCGGCTTTTCAACCCTGGTTTCCCATTAAATTGTCATTTGTCCCATATCGGACATCAGTTAATTCAGGCATTCGACTTGAGTGACGCCTTGGAGACGACCGTCGCGTCAGGGTTCAGCAGGCGGTGCCGGGCGCTGCGCTGGGCGGCGGCGCTGCTGGGCGCGCAGCGGATGCGTCCTCACGTAGTGGAGCAGGTCGTCGGGTTCTGAAAAGTGAGGTAGTGCCACTAACTAAGGTACTTCAAACTTAAGCGGTTGTGGTTCGTTAGCGGGGGTACCAATTGTTGTTTTAAATAAATACACTAACAAATATGGAAAAAGTTTTTACTGAAATTTCAATCGAAAATCCGCAATTTTTGCTCGAGAAATTGACGTTTTTTTCTCAAAATTTGTAAAGATTTTTAGTTAGGCATATTAAAACAGGGTAGAAACACCAGAGAAATAGAAACAGCAGTAGAAAAATTGAAAATTTGGTTGAAAATCGATATTTTTGCCATTCAATAATTTTTTGTAACGTTGTAAAATTAAGGAACGCGTAAAACACTGTATAAAAATCTCGCGCTTATATTATAAAAATTAGATTTTAAATAAGACGCTTGTGTAACATTTCCGCACCCCGCCCCCCGGAAATACCAAAGAATCGTCTACCTTTCAATACAAAAATTTCCTAAAAATCTACCAGGAAATCGATCGTAAAACTCCGCTGGCTCCATCTAAAAAAGTGGGGGATGACGTCGAGATTGAGCAATTTACCTCGGGAAGTCCTTGACGACGAAGAATACGATTGCCCGTATCCACGTAATAAAATAATCTCTTACAGCCGGAAGCTTCGCGGCCTACGTCCAAGATAGCGCGGCGCAGCCGACGGATCCGCCTGTCTTGGACAAGCTGATACAGACGGAACTGGAACGGGGAAGTAGAGTTTCCCGGAGGATTCCCGTCTTTTTGGTTCTGGTTCGTTAGCGGGGGAGCAGGGCCTGTTGAGTTAAGCATAACCCCCGCGAACGAATCAGAACCGTCGTTTTAGGGAAACAGATCTGGTAGTAATGAAAAGCGGATCGATTTTAGATTTTATAATGGCCCTAGTAGGTTTTGATTCCGCGAAATTCATAAAAAATTTTGAAAATCGAGAATTTCGTAATTTTTGGTCAATTTTCATTAATTTTTGGGCACCGAGTCATAAAATTCGAAAAATTTTTTTATAATTTCTGTTCCTGGCTGTTAAAAAATACTATGTTGTTATGACATTGTAGGTAGTTTTTGATTGCTGGAAAGTTACAAAAGATTTTTAAACGTTTTCGAAAGTTCGTGAATTTAGACATTTCTAGTGCATTTTAAGTTTTTCTTCATGAGTTATTTACTACTTAAATGTTATAAAAATAGTTTTATTTTGTTTTACCTAACTACGGAACAACGTCACGGGAATGTGCGCGCAAATGCATTATTTTTACCTAGTAGAATTGGGCCCTAGGAAGAAGCCCTAACAATCTCCGAAAAACGTCCTAAACGACCCACGAATCGTTTGAAGAGGCGAACAAGCCACTTCAACGTCTCGAGAAGCCAGTTGACCGTCTCGAGAACGAGCCAAAGCAGCAGCAGAAACTGAAAATGAAACAGAACTCAAACAGATTAGAGTCAGCCTATAAAAAATTGTTTACTTGCGTCAAAAATGATGGCATAAATTTTCAGAATATCGGGTTTTCAGAACATCGCAATTGCGATGAATCCCTTACGGAGGAGGAGCTGGGCTGGACGGTAAGTACACTGAACCGTAGACCAACTGGTTTTTTGGCTAACACTACACCACCAATATTACTACTATAACTGTACCACAAAGAAAAGAAAATTGATACATACCGGAAGTTTGCTGAAGTACAAGATCAGGATCAGCCACCACTGGACCTGAAAA